CTTGATTTAGTTCTGACCAATGGTATAGAGATTAAGGACTTGGTAATATCTAAAAAAGTTAAATCTGGTCCTCTGGACATTCAAAAAAACAAAACAAAGCAAATCAACAAAAAAATGTAGAAACGTTTCGTCTCTCATCAGCTGGTTTTGGTTGTCAGCAGCAAACTGGTTGATCCACCCTGAGACGGTGCTATTTAAGAGACTGAGCTGAAAACAGCTCCTCAGACTGAGGAAGTCTCTCGGATGAGAGACGAAACGTTTCTACATTTTTTTGTTGATTTGCTTTTTGTTTTTTTGAATGTCTAGAGGACCAGATTTAACTTTTTTAGATTTTTCTACCTGGATTATTGAGCATGCATCAGGATGACTTGGTAATAGTTCCTCAAAATCCTGTTCTGTCCGACCATTTTTTAATAACTTTGAGTTTACATTAAATGACTACACAGTCACTGAGAGTAAAGTTCATCTCAGCAGGTGCTTATCAGAAAACTGATTCTTCCCCCAACATCTTACTCCAAAGTGGAACAAACCAGTTATGTCCAGATGACCTGACTAAAAAATGTTGGATTGTATACCTGGATTATTGAGCATGGACTTTGTTGATGCCAAGACAATATTTTCACGGACCGGGGGACATGGTCTGGGGGTCCTCCCCAACAGAATTTTTAATAATGCCATTTCCTGTATTCTGGTGTATTTTACAAACATTTAAAACATATTTTTCGCTTCAAATTCTCTGACTGCACAAGAAACGGCTTCATGAGCTGAGATCATCGTCCATTTTGTCAGTTCGGTGAAAGTTCAGAGAACTCCTGCAGTGATTCACATCAGATTGTTCACAAAAACACAGGAACTTGTGCCTAGTGCAAAACGTTTAATTATATTTTTGTGTTTTATAATAAACCTACCCATGACTTTGAACTTTTAGGGTCAGGGATTTTTTTGAGCAGAAGCAGAAATGTGAAGCGACAGCTCTGATGTCATTGTTAAAATGATAGTTTTAGTTATTTAAAGTTTTACAGTCAATCTTTGTCAGGCGGGTTGAAAGATACGCAGTGTAATCCTTCAAAATGCACAGATACAGCTGCGCACCTCCACCTGTCTGCTCCAGACCACGCAGGTGAATTGCTTTGTTCTTCACCAGCAGTGTAGAACTGATCTGCACATGCACCGAGCACAAACTGAAACTAACCACTTGTGTGTGTTGACCTGCATCAAGAGTGAGTCATAATAATAATAAACTTTATTTCTATAGCACCTTCCAACAACGCCTTGCATTGACCAAGGTGCTTCACAAGACAAAACAAGATTAAAAACAGGACACAATAAATCAGTGCAAAAAAAAAAAAAACAGTCATAGACTGATGTGGTAGAGAGAATCTGGTGATTTTTCAAAATAAAACGTTTTTTCCCCTTCAGTGTGGCCCGGTATCCATTGCCCCATGGACCCATGGACCCATGGACCCATGGACCAGTACCGGTCCGCGCCCCAGGGGTTGAGGATCACTGCCCTCTCAGATGAGACAACTTTAAAAATTTCACTAGAGCCTCATTTGTGTTTGGACTGTTTTTGTCAAGGTCACGGGTCAAGGTTTTCTTTATTGTCATGTGCATCATATGTGGTACATGTGGTTGAACGAAACTGTGTACACATGGTCCCAGTTACATCCAAAAAAAGTATAATTTGTAAAAGAAAAACCGCAATAAGATCTAAGATACGACCTGAGAAATATGCTAAACTAAGAATAAGCTAAGCACTAGTAGTACAAAAAACAGTACGCAGAACAACAGCAGCACGAACATGAGTCTGTGTGAGCAGATGAGTATGAATGAACACAGTGGCATGAAATCAGCAGCATGAGATCAGCAGCATGGATAGTCAGCAGCTCATATAAACAATCGAGTGGAATTACAGTGATTTTTCTTTTCCCACAGTGATTATCCTGGTTAGAGATTCATGAGTCTAACAGCCTCAGGGTAGAAGCTGTTCCTCAGTCTAGTGGTTCTACACTTAATGCTCCTCAACCTCCTTCCTGAGGGGAGCGGGACAAAAAGTGTGTGTGCTGGGTGAGTGTGGTCCTTCATGATGCAGGTGGCCCTCTTCCTGCATCTGGAGGTGTAGATGTCTGTGATGGTGGGGAGGCTGACTCCAACATCTTCTGTGCAGCCTTCACCACTCTCTGCAAAGCTTTTCTTTCTGCAGTTGTGCAGCCTCCATGCCACTCGTTGCCTTGAACCACTTTGGCTGTTGCTGCCTGCCTGGAAGGAGTCAACAGGGGACAGGATAGTGCCCAGAAACCATCTTATCTCCAGCAAACTGGTTGGTCCACTTAAGGAGTTTACTGCTTGGTGTGGTAACAGTTTACTTGGAACTCCTCAGACTGATGAAGCCCTCTGGATACAGGGCGAAATGTCTCTACTAAAAAGAAACTGTCCAGATGACCTGGCTGAGCATTATTGGATAGAGAACTTTACTAATTGGCTTTTCTTTGTATGTGAATGTTCCTGTAAAGTGCCCTGAGACAACTTTGTTGTGAATTGGTACTATATAAATAAACTGAATTGAATTAAGTTCCTGCTCGTTTCCCAGTCTGGAACATCAAAACTTGTAGAAACGGTTGAAAAGATTTCAGGTAAATGTTTTGGTTTTCATAGAAAAACTTGGGACATAATAAGCTAAGTGTAAGGGTGCATTCACACCAGCCCTGTTTAGTCCGCTTTAATCGAACTCTAGCTCGTTTTCCTAGAAAGTCCGGTTCGTCTGGGGAGGTGTGAACGCACCATCAAACTCTGTCACGGAACAAAAAGGCGAACTCTGGCCCGGGCTAAAACCAAGGTCTCGGTCCGGTAGAAGCGAACTCCAGCATGGTCGAGTACAGTGTGAATGTAAACAGACTGAGCCCCGCTCCGCAGGGCAAACAAACACACATTTCTCTGACCTCATATGGAGCCGTCAGCTGCCTTGTGTGAAAAACAATATTCTCCATGGTCTTCTGTCTCATCTTCTGCTCATGCTGAGTCCATTTTTGAAAAATGACAAAATATAACTACTAAAACTGCTAAAACTTGATGCCACTTCATTTTTATTTTTATTTACAGAAGAAGAAGTGTCTTCGGAGGTTTTTGTGTCGTTTCTTTCAGTAGTTCTTGGTGCAGCGCCCCCACAGTTGAGCGGGGGAACAGGTTGGTTCAACAGGTTGACTCGACTGCACAGTGCAGTGTGAATGCAAACGCACCAGCTCAAATGTAACAAAAGCTCATGAATATTGGTCCCGAACCGAACCGAGTCTACCGGACTATCTGGTGTGAAAACGACCTAAGTTTCCGAGCATAATTCTTATTCTTGAAGGCTCCAACAATTGTTGTAGACTGTAACTTATGAAGCAATAGAAAGTTCTGTATTTTCAAGGTGCACCTCAAGTTTCAGCTTTATAAAGTTTGCACTTTGGAAACGACGCAAACTTTGGTCACATTCACTCTGTCCTACGACAAATGTTCATGTGAATATGTAAACATGTCTAACAGGAGTTAGTTTACACGTGCAGCTCACAGCCACTGTCAGGCTGCCCCTCTGCAGGGGAGGGGAGAATCCTTCTATAAAATCCATTTTATAAATGTGTCCGCTCAGACCATTTGGTCAACAAATGGACTTTTCTGAGCTGACTCACTTCCAAAAGGGGATTTTGTCATTTTCTGTACAGCAGTCTTTAAAAAATGTGGTGTTTCATGGAAACGCTGTGATTTAAACCCTCAGACAGCCTTCAATTTAGCGTACCGCCATTATTTCCACATAAATTTTATATCTCTTCCGAAAGTGCCCCAAGTTGCATTATAAGTGCAACAGCCTCTAACACCAGAATACTATGCAAGTAGCCGTGCGATGTGAAACTGATGGCAACAAAAGTTTACAAAGAAGTATTTGCATGAACCATGATGAAATATTGGATTGCAGTAGTGAAATGGAAGCAATCCACGTTGGTCTTTCTATAGTTGGACTAGTTGTTAGCTCTTCTGTCCTGCCAGGCCTAAACTGTTATTTCTCCAAACTCAGGTTGTTCATAAAACTATCTACAATGGGTAAGAGAATACTTTTTCATAACATTCTACAGAACCCAACTTCGAAATGTATGAAGTATCCCTTTTAAATTAGGAGCAGTCTTTTTTCCCAGAGTAGATTTTTCAGGACTTGGGCAGGTTTGAGAGCCTTTTTGGCTCCGCTGTGCAATGAATCTAAATGTGAACTGCATCATCCCAAAGCCGTGTAGTAAATAAACGTGTATTGTTTGACTACGTGTAGTACGATCAGGTTGAGTGGTCATCAGTGCTCTGCCTCAAAGGGACAGGTGAGAACCTCTCCAGGTAGGGGTTGATGGAGAACTTTTCTCTCTGATGGGACTCGTGTTGAAAATGTTACAAACTGCAGCTGCGTGTTCCTGATTCTAACAGATAATCATGGCTGCCGCGAGCATGTGTTTCACAATCAATGTGTTTCAGAGCTGCAGTCTTCACTTTGATTAGTCTATTGTAAGTCAGTTGAATGCCCTCAGATGAAATCACAAATGCTAGATTTGAGCATTTAATAAATGAGTTGTCACTTAGCAGCCAGCGTGGAGTGGTTTTCTTCTCCTTTGACACGAACACAGAACGTTTTGTTTCTTGTTTTTTGTCACATCGTGAGGTTTTGGTTCTGCTGTTCCCCACCTGTGTGAAAGTGAGATTGACTAAACTACTCGTTAGTTGACTGTAAGTATTCACTGCTGTACTGTGAGATACTGGTGGGCTTTAAATATGCACCACATGTTGTTTGAACATTGCACAAACATACTTCATTTTCAAATGAAACAATTAAAGAAAGAAAGGAAAATGGCTTAAATAGTTGTTGCAGAAGTTCTGGCTTTATTTTGATTTTAACCACACTCACTGATTTTCACACGCTGAACCAAAACCTGATGGATGAACTCACGTTATAACTTGTCCTTACTCCCTCTTGTGTGCCACAGGGCCCGGTGCTGATTGGCAGCTCGCAGGGTGGCGTGAACATCGAAGACGTGGCTGCAGAAAATCCAGACGCCATAGTGAAAGAACCCATCGACATCGTGCAGGGTATTACAAAGGAGCAGGCTGTCAAGGTACAATCAATAGCAGACGAGAAGTCACAGGTTGGAGAAGTTCTGTGTTTTTCAGCTTCAGGAAAAATCAAAGCTGAGAGCGGCAGGCACTCTTTATCTTTTTTTACATGTAGCAGTAACTTTAAAATACAGACTTCAAAATGTATCTTTTTCCTCTTTAAATGAAAACTCAGCAGCCTTCCTCACTTCTCATGCCATGTTTAGAGCACAAAGAAAGCTCTAATTAAGATGCATAAAAACATCAGTTTTATCCCAGTTTGACTTTTTCTTCTGATTTTCATAAAGAAGCTTTTGTGTCTCATGTCACAAACCAGCCACCTGGGAGCACAAGCCAGTGTATCTGTGGTTCTGGTCCCAAGCCCGGGTAAATGTTTAGGGTTGTGTCAGGAAGGGCATCCGACGTAGAACACTTGCCAAAACTATAATGCAAGTTCATCAAAGTGAAACCATACTGGATCGGTCCAGGCCCGGGTTAACCACCGCCACCACCGGTGCTGTTGACAAACAGGGTGCCGGTGGAAATTGTGCTGCTGTTGGTTAAAAACCACGAAACATGTCAGGAAAGTCAAGAATTGAGGAGTTGGCAAAGAATTTATCTTCCTGCACTTCACGTTTCCACCACCAGGTTTCCTCTCTGTCCACATGTCACACCAAGTACCTTCCTACCTGTCTCTCTAACTACTGTTGCTGTAGCAGTCAGTCATCTGGAAGCTCTTTCTCACCACCCAGAGCCTTTAACAGCTCCTCTCTGAATTTATCACAACATTCTTCCTTCTTCAGCTTCCACCATTTGGTCTTCTTCTCTCATTTTACTCTTTTTCTCTTCTTGACAATTTCGCACGACCCGTCTTTTCTTTTCATAGAAATGAAATACAAACAAAACCCAGAAGTACGTCAGCTAACAAGCTAAAGTGATGTCCTATAGTAATAAACAGCAGTTCATGTCATTTTATTTTTTATTTTTACAGCTCTTGATCCTTTGAACAAGCTCACGTGAACTACCTGAAGTCTTTTGGATGAAAGATGAAACGTATTAACACAAAGAAACCGTCCAGAGGACCTGACTTAACTTTGTTGGATTTTTTTAACCTGGACTATTGAGCATGAACTTTGAAACCTTCTGTTTAATTTATTTCTGTTGAAAGATAAACATATTTGTGTGAGACACTCTATAAGACACAAAAATACAGGTGCTAGACATAAAATGAGAATATCATGAAAAAGTTTATTTATTTCACTAATTCCATTCAAAAAGTGAAACTTGTATATTCTATTCATTCATTACACACAGACTAATATATTGCAAGTGTTTATTTCTTTTAATGTTGATGATTATAACTGACAACTAATGAAAACCCCAAATTCAGTATCTCAGAAAATTAGAACATTACTTTAGACCAATTTAAAAAAAAGGATTTTTAGAAATGTTAGCCAACTGAAAAGTATGAACATGTACAGCATCAGTACTTAGTTGTTGCTCATTTTGCCTGGATTAATTAAATTCAGTTCAGTTTATTTATAAAGCGCCAAGTCACAACAGAAGTCGTCTCAGGGACTGAACAGAAACATTCATGTTTAAAAATAATAATTTAACATTATTCATCTGAGGAGCAGACTGCTCTGAGTTTAACTCTCATCTTGAACCAGCATGAAGAAACAGTGGAAAGAAAAAACTCCCTCATGATGAAGAAACCTTTAGCAGAACCAGCTCAGGACAAGTGGACATCTGCTTCAACTGGCTGGGTTTGGTAGTAACAGATACACAATGGCAGGTCAAGAATCACATGTTAAGATAGAAATAGTATCAAATGAAAACTATTCAATTTTAACAATTCATTTAAGGAAATGAGGTCAATTTGTCCTCTAGTAGTCTAAGCTTAAGGCAGCATGACAAGCCAACCCTAACTATAGGATGTATCAAAAAGGAAAGTCTTAATCCCAGTCTTAAAACTGGACAATGTGTCAGCCTCATGGACAGAAACTGGAAGTTGGTTCCACAAGAGAGGAGCCTGAGAACTGAAAGATCTTCCTCCCATTCTGTTTTTGTAAACTCTAGGAACCACAAGTAAACCTGCAGTCTGAGAGCGAAGTGCTCTGTTAGTAAAATATGGAACAATAAGATCTGTAATATAAGATGGAGCTAGGTTGTTGAGAGCTTTGTAGGTTAGAAGTAAGATTTTGAATTAAATTCTGGATTTGACAGGGAGCCAATGGAGAGAAGCTAAAACTGGAGAAATATGATCTCTCCCAGTAACTCCAGTTAAGACTCTGGCAGCAGCATTTTGGATCAACTGAAGTTTTAAAGAAGTATTTGGACACCCAGATAATAAACCATTGCAATAGTCCAGTCTAGACGTGACAAATACATGGACCAGTTCTTCTGCATCATTTTTAGATCAGATGTTTCTAATTACTGCAGCAATGCGTCGTGGCATGGAGTCGATCAGTCTGTGTCTCTGCTCAGGTGTTGTGAGAGTCCACGTTGATCTGATCGTGGCCTTCAGCTCTTCTGAATTGTTGGGTCTGGTGTATCACATCTTCTTAAGAAGAAGCCCCATAAATTCTATGGGATTAAGGTCAGGTGACTTAGCTGGCAAATTAAAAACAGGGAAACCATGGTCTTTAAACCAAAACCAAAATAATTAGCTTTGGCACTGTGTGCAGGTGCCAAGTCCTGTTGGAAAATGAAATCTGCATCTCCATAAAGTTGGTCAGCAGCAGGAAGCTTGAAGTCTCTAAAACTTCCTGGTAAATGCTGCGTTGACCTTGGACCTCAGAAAACACAGTGAACCAACACCAGCAGACGGCATGGCCCCCCCACACCATCACTGACTGTGGAAACTTGACACTGGACCTCAAGCAACGTGGATTCTGTGCCTCGCTTCTCTTCTTCCAGACTCTGGGACCTTGATATCCAAAGGAAATGCAAAATGTACTTTCATCAGAGAACATAACTTTGGACCAGTCAGCAGCAGTCAGTCCAGTCCTTGTTGTCTTTAGTCCAGGTGAGATGCTTCTGATGCGGTCTCTTGTTCAAGAGTAGCTTGACACAGGGAATGCGACAACTGAAACCCATGTCTTGCATATGTCTGTGCGTGGTGGTTCTTGAAGCACTAACTCCAGCTGCAGTCCACTCTTTGTGAATCCCCCCCTCCCAAAAAGAGACCATTTAAAGGCCTTTGCAGCTGTTTTGAGTTGATTAGCTGATTAGACTGTGGCACCAGGTGTTTTCAATATTGAACCTTTTCACAATATTCAAATTTTCTGAGATACTGAATTTTGAGTTTTCATTAGTTGTCAGTTATAATAATCAACATTAAAATAAATAAACATTTGGAATATGTCAGTCTGTGTAATGATTGAATATAATATATAAAAGTTTTACTTCTTGAATGGAATTAAAGAAATAAATCAACTTTTTCATGATATTCTAATTTTATGACCAGCACCTGTAAGTTTAAAAGTTTATTATTCTGTTCTGAGTGAGTATGGTTATAGTTTGACAATAACGATAAATGAAACGAGTACAAATTAGATGTTAAGTCTTTTTTTTGACTGAGAGGAAGTCACAGAGGGTTGTCTGCATGTTCAGCTCCTCTGAGATTTTCAGGGATTACTTTCACCTTGTTCAGCTGTGACAGCTAAAACCTTTTGGGTTCATTTTCACTGTTCTCGTCGTGTTGCTCTGAGATAGAAGTTGCTGCACGCTGACGGCAGACCGGAGGCTCGTACACTCATTTCTTCTTGCAGTGCGAGTCCTTCCTTTCTCTTGACGTTCTGCTGAATCATTTAGCTGCACACTTGGCCTGTCAGTGCTGACACTGGTACCAGGGACTCTGTATATTTGATGGAAGTGTTGAGGAAGGCTGATGAAAATCCACTGATGTTCTTGGATAAACATGGACCACATTTGCAGAACTCTGTAAAGTTCTGACTAGTTTAAAATTCTGCCTATTTATTACTGTGTTTAACTGTTTGAGTTGCTGTGTCGCAAATGTTTTAAACATTATGTTGTGCATCTGATTGCTGCTGGAGTTTACCAACGAGGCTCCAGTTTCTGATTCTGTTATAAGAAGAGTATTACTGTACATTGAAAACACCTGAATGATTCCCTACTGCAGCTCAAGACTGAAAACCAAGGCAAGGAGCTTGTTCACAGTCCGTGTGAGCAGGGACTGCAGCTGTACCTCCAGGAGGTGATCTGATCTGTGATGAAATGCTTTGTGTTGCTGCAGGTCGCTCAGAAGATGGGCTTCCCACCCGCGTTGGTGAACGAGGCAGCCGAGAACATGATCAAACTTTACAACCTGTTTATCAAGTACGACGCCTCCATGGTGGAGATCAATCCCATGGTGGAGGACTCTTCTGGCATTGGTAAAAAAAAGATGACTCAAGTTCTCACTCTGTGATCTAATAGGTTCATCGTCTGCTTAATTAACCTTTAATTCCACCCTACATGCCTGCAGGCCAGGGTGCTGTTGTGAGAAATGTCCTGTCGGCTGTGCTGTCTGATCACAGAGCTTCACATACGTCCGGTCAGAATGAATCCAAAACAGCCGTTACGAACGGGACAAGATGTAGCGTTGCAGAAAAACAGATGGGTGGGCTTTCTGTGAATCTAAAGGCTTCAAATCCAAATTTAGTTTAAAATTAATCAGCGTTGAGACATAAATAATCCACAATGTTTTTCAGCTGAACTGATATGTGCAACATAACTTAATCAGCGTGGTTTTAAAAAGTTGGTGCTTTCTATCAGAAGTTGGTCAAGTTGTACTCGTGTTTTATTAGAGGCATGTTTTTAACCCAAAATGGCAAATATTTGATGGCTAAAGCTCTTGGGGTTTATTGAATATATGTGACCTGTGCTGGCAATATTACATTTTCAAATTCTCCACCTTCACCTACAAACAGTATTCAGTTTGTTGAAGTTTAGCTTTTTATCACCTGGCTGGCAACAAGCTTGTTTTTCATGCGCGTGCCAGTTTGAAAACTTGATTTTTGTTGGCTTCTAGAATGATGCCATCGTGGAAACCAGACCTTTATTTAAAAAATGGGACAACTCGAGCTTCATGATGATTCCAAACATTATGTGAAGGAATTTTAGGCGCGATGGCAGCCGGTGGTGAAAACTTACTTTCAAAGGAAACTAGCAAACAATGGAAACTTCAAGAAACCTGCCACTTGGTGAATCAGCTGTAGACATCCATCCAGTGAGGGAGTTTCATTAAAAGCTGTTGAGTGGTTTGTGATATTTTGCTAACAGACATGGTCTCCAACTATTTATAGCAAAGTTTCAAACAAAAAATGAAAGTATTTCTTAGCCGTCACTGTATGTCAGGAAATTCTGACGACTTCTAACACACTAAATTTTTAACTAGATATCTATAGACAAGACTGGGTTATAGCCATTTTTGTGTTTTCTAAGTTAGCTATGGCTATGACTCCAGAAGCTCATCAATGATCTACAGCCTGGGGATCCTCAACACCACCATAGCCATCCATGTTAGGGGACAGAGAAGGAAGGTTTGGAGACCACAGCTTCATGTATTCATGTCACAGAGAAACTGTCAGGGAAATGCACGTGACACAAAAAGCTGCTGTGCAAAAACTATATGGCAGATTGAAATAAAATGATTCAACTACAAGTGAAAGAAGACATTGGTGCTCACTCATTTCTTCTCATCAAATATCCTGATGCATGCTTAGGATGATGCTCTCATCAACTTCTCTCATTTCAGTTACAGATACGACAACTTTCCAAAACTTGTCACCACGTTAACTCAAAACGTCACTAAAAGTAAAAGCACACATCTTGTGACTGGACCAGTCGTTTTAATGTGTCTGGAAGCATTGTTCTGTTCAGGCTGTGTTCAAAGTGACAAGAGAAAGACATAACCTGTTCAGACTTGTTTAGTTGTGGATAACAAGATGTGACATCATAAAAAGTATAGAAGGCAGCACTGCAGTGCTTTCTATACTTTACTATTGGCAGGCCCCAGATAAAAGGACAAGGATTAAAGGATTATTTCTGATGGCATACCTCTTAAAAATCTTCAGTCTAAATGTAACCAGTTAAAATTACAATGAGCTCGAGCAACTTTTAGTTCTTTACATAAAGTTCGTAATTATCAGGATTCCTACAGTCTAGAAAAGCATCCATCCATCCATCCATCCATCCATCCATCCATCCATCCATCCATCCATCCATCCATCCATCCATCCATCCATCCATCCATCCATCCATCCATCCATCCAT